CATCTCTTCTTGCTACTGATGTTACTTCAGCCTCCTCCTCTTCTAATTTTTCTTCCATTCTAGGGCGGTTTACTCTCCGGTTGCCTAAGGATGCTTCTAATTGATCCATACGATCTTTCAAAGGCTCCAATTCTAATTTCAGCAATCTTGCCATTTCATGCATAATGGCTTGGGTTTGCAAGTTAGGGGCTTCTCTTTCTGGTGATCGTCCTGAACTCCGATACATGGTTAGCAAATAAGAAAAGAATAAGATGTGTAAAAGACCTTACCATAATATACTCTCACAAAGCCTCACAAGTCACTCCAAGAAAACTTGATGTCACTCAATCCACTCGTGTTTGCACTCGAGGACTTTAATGGCTTTTATTTGTCCTCTTCTGATCTCACACACTCTCCAGCCTTTTTCCTCTCGATTCTCTTGTCTCAAGTTCTAGAGAACTTTACTCAAGACTATATCAAGTAAATTTTACTTGTTTGGCGTCGGCTGTAAAAGGGTTAGTAGGAAGGGAAAAACAAATATAATGAAAGGGTGGCTTAGAAATAGAAAGAAGAGAAACAAAAGGGTTACTTACACAAGTCACTTCACAACCTTCTATCACCACAATCAATTTAAACGGCTTACTTGAATTGCTTGGTGATGATAATTGTTGATGAGTGCTTCAACTTCTTTATTTTCTTTTCTTTGTTTTTCTTCTTTTTGAGTGCTAGATTTTCTTTCTTTCTTTTGGAGTGCTTCAATTTCTTTTCTGATTTTTTTTGACTTTGCACTTCACTTGCACTTCTTTTTGTATTTTCCTTTTTGTTTTTGTTGCACGTTGCTTTCTTCCACCAAAGCTCTTATTACTGCTTGATGTAAGGCTCTTCTGATGCCTTAACAAATTGATTGTGGATCTAGGAAAGAAGCAAAACAACCTGCAAAGTGAATGGCTCAAAACAGAATGGTTAAGGGTGGTTAACGTATAGGTGATTAGGTGGGTTGTTTAATTGAGAGATGGAAGCGAAAGATGGTTGATATGGCTATGGTTATGGTTTATAAAACAAAGGGATGGTTGTGAGGATAGTATCTTAAAGAAGACTCAAAGAAGAACCAATGCTATATAGAGCAAAGACCCAGACTTTATATTGCTTCTTTAAGGGGTGGTATGAAGTACTTTGACCCACTAGTTATAAAGAACTAGGAACTAGAAGTATCAAGATGAAAAGAAAGAGGTTGACGCCACAAGTATAAATTATACTTGATAAGTCGATAAAAGTCACCAGGACTTAAGGAAGAGAATAATCTCACTTTAATTAAACAAAAGGTCTGATTACAAATCATGAATGCTTTCCTATTTATAGGAAATGGAGAGACATGGCCGAATAATTACAAGGAGATTTGGCCAGCCTTGTGCATTCCTATAGAGACATAATTTAATGCTAAATAGAGATGACAGTTCAGTTTAAATGGAGGGTAATAACCCTTGGCCGAATAGTTCTTGTGTCACTTCATATTGGCGCCAATTTGGATGGCAGTTAATGCTTGGCCGAATAAGGAGAGAACTCTTCATCTTGGTGCCTAAATGAACCACATGCAAGGCACATGGGGGCTGATCACATGCAAAACACATGGCTTGGCCGAATAGGGAGAGAACTCTTCATCTTGGCGCCTAAATGATCCACATGCAAGGCACGTGGAGGCTGGTCATATGCAAGGCACATGGGTGTTCTAGGAAGCCTTGTTGTGCAGCCTTGTGCATGGATTGATGGCTGGTCATGTGCTCTCTCTTGGGCGTGCATGTGTCTCCTTCAAGCTAGCTTGAGTTGTGGAGCTAGCTAGCAAACATGGGCTGTTTGTGAACAAGCTTCCTAGCTAAGTCCTTGTGAGCTCCTTAACATTATATTCAGCTACATTCAGCTACCTTTGACATTACTTTTGGCAACTCAGCTCCAAATAGTCCAACTAGCTAAGTTTAGCTAGCCTTAAGCTCCTCTAGCTGAATCAAGCTTCCCTTAGTGTTCCATGAGTTGCCTTGTACTTTGTAAGCTGTTTGTGAGCTGCATATGACGTCCAAATCATTCACCAAGCTACCTCAACGTGCATCATGCTCTAATGTACCTACATGTGCAAGGAAACAAGGTAATTCCATGGTATTGAGCTGATATGAGCTAAATACCTTGCTGTCATGTTTGTTTATGGTAATGTAAGCTAAGTTTGAAGGCCATGAGCTAATTATATCATCTCATAATATGTATAAGATTATGCATGAGGCTTAAGAGCTAATATGAATGCATATGAACTAACGAAATGCATTATAAGTATGCTGCCTTGATGCATATATAATAATCATGCTTAATATGATTATAAAACTATCCTATCATGTTTAACATATTAAAATAACAATGTGCAAGTTGTGTTCATACTTAGTTACTTCGTAACTAATATCCTAAGCATGATATGTATTATAATAGTATATATTATAAGGCTAATATAAAGTGAATGCATTATAAGGATGTTCAAGAATACTCCCTTTATAGTTGAAAACGTGCTTGTATCAGTGATCTCACGCGATTCCAATGGTGAATCGACGACAACTACGGTGGCATATAACTAGGATGATGGCAAAGACTATATCGGTCATGGTCTGAGAGGGTGGCGACGGCATATTAAGGTTAAGATTTGGAAAATTATCTTACTTTTTCAAAAGAAAGCGAAAGAGAAGACTAATTGTCTGTACAATTTTTTTCATTTTTAAAAAACCATAACCCTTAACCTCTCACCTTTGTCCCACTTGAGTTAACTCCTCTAACATTCCTCCTTTTGTAATCTTTTTAAAAAGAATAATAGTAAATCAAATTTATGTGTGTGCATGTGACGTGTTTCTCCTTGGGTTATCCTCGACGTCCGTTACTCTTTTTCGATAATAATTGGCTTAACGCCCAAATAAGTGTCCAGACTATGCCTTTTTTTTTCAAATAAGTGCCTACCGGGTGCCTAACGTTACAAACATTACTTTTTGGTCCATCCGGGTGCCTAACGTTACAAACATTACCCTTTTAGATGCTTGGACCGTTAACGGTTTTAATTTACCGTTAAGTGACACATGTTATAACCTGGTAATTTTAAAAATATATAAAATAATATATTTTTAAAAAATAAAACACATAAATTTTGAAATAACCCCTAAAATTTGAAAACTTCATTTCAACCCCTAACCCACGCCTATCACCGCCCTTTGTCGTCGAAGAAGCTCCACCTGACCTCCCCTCCCTTGGCGACCAAAACCCCTATGAAATCGTGACCGGTTGACGATTGATCGGCGACAAATCGATGTTTTAAATCACGTAAACCCTAGGATGCAAATTGTGTCACGCGATTCTGATGGTTAATCGACGACATATAACTATGATGATGGCAAGGACTAGGTCAACCACGGTGGTCGTGGCAACGACAGATTAAGCTTAAGATTTGGGATTTTGGGGTTGTTTTATAATATAAGAAAAATTAGGGTTTTCTATAAATATAATAATATTTTTAATATTTTATAAAAAAAAATAAATCTCAAAATTATCAGGTTGTGACACGTATCACTTAACGGTCCAAAGTAACGATATTGACGGCCCAAACACCTAAAGTGTTAACATTTGTAATGTTAGACACTCGGATGGAAAAAAACGTAGGCACTTATTTGACACAAAATACATAGTTTGGGCAATTGTTTGGGCATTAAGCCATAATAAATTAATAATCGAATACTTATTTATTACTGCAATACCTTTCGAAAAAAATAAGTTACTCTTTAATTGAGTTTTTTTAATAGTTTAATTAATTTAAATCAGTTTTAAATTAAGTAGTTGCTTTAGTGGATAATTATTTTCAAAATAAATTTTTTATTAGTCAAAATAAAATTTTAAATAATCCAAATATGTATCCTACTATCTTATATATTTATGAAAGAATTTATGTGGATGGTTTAAATTATTAATGTGTCAATTAATGAATAATATTATTTTCATTTTAAGTTAAATTTAGGGTAAACTACACAAATATTCACTAATGTTTGAGTAAGTTTTCGTTTTTACCACTGATATTTCAAAAGTTACAAATTGGTTACTTGCGTAGTAACATTATCGTTTGTTAAAAATTAGTCACTTGAAGTTAATAGTCTTTACTATGGATGACGGAAAATTGAATTGTACCGTTAAATGCTTACCTGGTCGGTTAACTGATTACATGGCTCATTAACCAATTAGTAGATAAAATTTACTCAAACATTGAGTTAGTGATTAGTTAACGTGCCATGTAAGTAGTTAACCGGCCAGGTAAGCATTTAACGATACAATTAAACTTTGTGTCACCCACAGTAACAATTGTTAACGTCGAGTGACCAATTTGTAACAAACGATAACAATAGTGACCAATTTGTGACTTTTGAAACATCAATAGTGAAAACGAAAATTTACTCAAACATTTTGTGACCATTAGCGCAGTTTACCCATAAATTTATTTGATTGAATTAACCATAGTTATTCTTTTCCAAATATGTAAACAGAATCGTTGCTTCTATATAATATTGTATACATTTATATTAATTACCATTAATTTTGCAAATAGAATCATGTGCAATTAATAAATATTAGGAATAAATACCTCTAAATTAAAAAAATATTCCCTTACTTTTATCTATAAATCCGATGAAGTCAATGAAATAAGATTTAATTGAAGATTAAACATTCCATATAACTATAAAAATAATATAAAATCAAACTAAATAATCTACCAATCTCACAAATATTTAATTAATTAATTAATATAATCTTACTCATTGGTTTATTTTTATTTAAACTTTTAATATAGTTTTCATTTTATCAGTAGATAAAATGTCATTTATCTTTTTAGTATAAAATCATAATATTTTACTAATAAGCATCCTTCTTTGATTCATGGCATTACAATGCTTGAGAAAATTCTTGTATGTGCATGTAGTGGAAAATGTAATTAGCTACCAAAACACACATACACGCACATGAAGTTCGAATAGATTTACCAGGAAACCATTGTGATACAATAAGTAATATCATTTTATCCATACTAAGAACATGATCCATTGATAGAACATGCATAACTAAACTCGTGGGTTTGAGGTATTATTATTATACAACAAACTGGATATTGCTTAAAGCTATTTTAATGCACTCTGTACGTGGTAGATCAATGAAACTGAAGGGTCTGGGTCTACTCTTCAGGATTTTACTTGGGGACCCAAACAATGTGATCTTGAGGAAGGAAATGACAGATAGGAACGGTTCCTGGCTTAACCTTAAGGACTTGAAAAGCCAAATGCTTTGGGTTCCATGCCGATGTATCTGTGTGGCAGACTGCTACTGCTTTGGCTTTTGTACCGTCAGCACCCTTCAAAGGAACCATGTAAGCCCTTGTTGTTTCTGATTTATGGCAATAGAAGACGGCATATGCATAATTCTGCTTGTGGCACACTACAGTTTTCTCGCCTCCCATCCTCTCTACTCCAGCTGTTACTGTGTACTTCTGCTTTGGGGTTTGCTTTTCCACCTCTGTAGAGACTGCCTTATCAATTTTGCCTAGCTTGGATGTGGTAAAGTCGATCATTGATTCAAGTGAGGTTGCACAATATTTTTCTTCTCCTAGAATCGATGGCGCTTCGCACTCCTTGATCGTGTTCTTCATCGTCTCTGCCTTTTCTGTTCCAGGTTTTACTGAAAATTTGTTGAGAATTTCTGGCAACTTGTTAGATGAAAACGGTATTGATTGGGATATTTGATAAGGTAAGAAAGTTGGTTTCTCTGTAGTTTCGGTGAAATGAAGGGTCATTGTTGCCCCGGGGTGCATATCCTTTTCCAAAAAGAAAAGTGCCACATTCGGGTCATCATGGATTTGGTTCTCAGTGGCTGCATAATTGTATCTAAACGGTGAAACATTAACATGTACCGGCTTTCCCTTGTGACCGGTGTTTACAGATACTCCTCCACCTTTACCTCCGACGTTGACATGAGTGCCATCTCCTGGCTTTCCTTTCCCAGTGTTCACTCCAACTCCTTTGCCGCCAACGTTCACATGGGTGCCACCCCCTGCCTTTCCTTTCCCGGTGTTCACATGTACTCCGCCCTTCCCTACGTTCACAGCAGTACCCCCAGGCTTCCCTTTTCCTGTATTGACGTTTACACCACCGCCACCTACATTCACAGAGGTACTTTTCTCCTCCAACAGTTCTGCAAATACACCAAAATGAATGCATCAGTTAGCATATTTGCTCATGTCCTATGCTTACATTTTCCAGAATAAATTGCTAAACAGAACATATTTGCTCATTCTCTTTCAATAAATCATGAACACAACATTAAGCTTCACATCCGATTATTAGCTGCTTCGCTGATTACGTGACTGTTTACTGCGTTAGACTCATTCAATCCTATGGGGGAACCGGTTAATGAGGTTCTACAAAGTTTATCTCATAAACTATGGTAGTGAGTAAATTGATTTAAATAAGAACAATCCTTAGGGTACTGAACACTCACCAGAAGGTAGAATTTCTTGGACAACCTTCGGCATAGGAGTATTTGGCAGCTTATTGTTCCAATATTGCTCAGGTGAAGGAACATCATGGCTTGCCACCACAGCAAGCTGCAAAAACAAACAACAAGCAAGAAAAGGTACAAGGAAACACTCATTAGTTATTTACACCCAACAACAAGCAATCACATGAAATCGAAAAACTTACTGCTAGTAAAGCAAGAACCAGCGAGAGAATCTTCATCAAGATCCGGGTAAATAATCTGAAATTTAGTGTAGCATGAATGGAATGAAAAGTAGGGCAACAATTCTCCACATTTATAGTGAGAGGTGAACTAGGAGCCTTGGGACAAGTAACACTCCCAGCGGTTTTTCTCAACAATAATATCTCCAACTGCCACTGGTTAACTTAAATGCAGTATGTGTCATATGGGTTGCGGGTGGTGGTACATTCATTCAAATTTGGTTTGCCAACATAATTGATTGGCCATTTGTCACTTGGTTATGGCCCTCAATAGCACCAACAGCTTCGACAGCAATATGTTTTAATTTCCTTGGACTTTTATGAGATTTTATTAAACTAACAACTACCCAATTTATGAGGGTTTAGTATGAGTTATTTTCAGATAATTATATGTTTAACATGGTTTTGAGCATTCAACATGTGCCTTTAAAACTACGAATACAACGTAGAATGTAATGAGGCAAAGAGGTGAGCATTTTTTGGCGCTTTTTTTTATCCATGCTTACGTTCAATAATGGACAGAGAGGATGATCGAGGCGAGCGTAAATTCTAAATTCTTATATAATTTAGATATTTATTTTTACTGGTGTAAATGAATAGAGATTTATGTGAATTGTTTGTGAACCATTCGTATAACACTCATTTACGTTCGTTGTTAAGCTAAATAAACGAGTATGAACAAAAAAATTTATGTTCATTTAATAAACGAACGAACATGAATAAAAGTGTGTTTGAATCATTTATGTTCACAAACAAGCTTATTTATTCATTTCTCCTTTTTTTATCTTTTTATATTTTAAATATTGGTGAAGAGAGGGACTAAATTAAAAACATAGCAAAAGTTGAAAACTGTGAATTTTAAGGAGTTTTCGCACTAGTGACATAATTTTACCATTTTTTTAACAAGCAAATGAAAGGGTAAAAATAAATGTAAACTAACACTAAACGAACATGTTCATAAACGTTAAATAAACACGTTCGTGAATGCTAAATGAACACGATCGTGAATATATAAATGAACATGTTCACGAAAATAAATAAATGAACACGAACACTTCTAAAAATAAATAAACGAACATAATATTAAATTTAAACGAACACGAACCGAACATGAACACACTCAAAAATAAACAAACGAATACGAACATAACCTTGTTCGTGAAGGTTGGTTCATTTACATCCATATTTACTTTTTATTGATAATTTGTTTTTACATCCTCCTAAAAATTTATAATATCACCTCTAACATAAAATTTTGTGTCTGCCTTACATTTACTCCAGTGTTATTTAGATAGAACCTTTGAAGAAATGAATGATTGGGATTAAACATGGGAGGGATAAAGTTGCTTAATTTCAAAAGAATAGGGAACTATTAAGAATTTAAACCAAAAGACAAATAAAATAAGGCTTAATTTGATCAATACTTGAAGTAATAAGACCTAAAATGTCATGTGACAAAAATATTAAGGGATGGTCATGCTCCTCCCAAGCATTGTTGTAATACCCCAAATATCAGGTCGGAGACCATAGTGAAAGTATTTAAAATTTTGATGGATTAAAGTGAGTATATTGAAAAGTATAGGGAATGATTTAGGAAATTGTTTTTAAGACTAATTAGTAAGAATGGAATAATTGAAGGACATTGTGGTCCTATGGAGGAAATGAATTTAATATTCATTATTATTAAGGATATTTAATAAAAGAAATAAGGGATAAGTCAAAGTGATTATCTTCTTCTTCCCCGTAGTCTCATGCCCTCCATAGCCAAGGTAAGGATTCTTCAATGTTGGTTTTTCTTTTTGTTTTTGGGTTGGTTTTGAAACCTTAAGTGTTATAGAGGCTTAAGGAAAGTTTAAGGAGGATTAAAACTAAAAGATAAAGGATTTATTTGATATTTAATAAAATGAGTTTTTAAATGATTTGATGAGATTTGGTCTGATATTGAAGTTTAAAGGTATATTTGACTTGCCAAAGAGGTAAATAAGAGATTTAGAGTTTTAAAAGTGATTAAAAACATGTTTGAGATTTGGATGTGATTTTAGTTCTTAAAGGGTTTTTTTGGAGTTATTTGATGTTATAGGGAGATTTATGGATGTAAGATAGTTGGTTTGAGTAATGATGAGTTTAAGGTTCTGTTTGGTGATAAAATTAAGAGATTTAGACGAAAATGTGGTAAAAAACGAAGTGAAATAGGTGAAATCTGGGTTATGGTATCGATACTGGAAGAACAGTATCGATACTATAGGGTTAAATTTGAGGATTGAGGATGAACACAATGAATAGTATCGATACTGATGCAAGTAGTATCGATACTAAAGTGGGGTATCGATACCATTATTGAAAAATGGATTCCATAATGTAAAAATGGTATCGATACTGAAAGGAGTATCGATACCATAGTAGGTAAGTATCGATACCATAGGAGGAGTACCAATACTACTCGGTCAGAAATTTTAAGTTAAGGCAAATTTTAATAGAATTCGAAATTTTACAATACTTTTGAATACTAGTACTTTAAATAAATGTTGGTAAGTATATTAACATCATATTGTATGTGTGACTATGAATGCTTATGTAGATCGTAATCAAGCTCTCGAGTCAAGCAAACAAAAAGACAATGATAAAGACGCAGAATAGTCGAACTACATATGTGCATAATAGTGAGGTCAATCAGGTGAGTGAATTTATTATGTACATTGAGAGTTATATGTGCATGTTGTTAAATGCATATGTTGTATTTTTATATCAGTACTATGTGTACTATAGGCACTATGAGCGCAACGCACGAAATTCATAATAAGTTTATGAACGACCGTATCGGCATTATGTGTGCAACCCACAGAATTCATAATAAGTTTATGAACGACCGTATCGGCACTAAGTGTGCAACCCACGTAATTCATAATAAGTTTATGAACAATCGTATCAGTACTATGTGTTCAACCCACAGAATTCATAATAAGTTTATGAACGACTGTATCGACACTAAGTGTGCAACCCACGGAATTCATAATAAGTTTATGAACGAGTGTATCGAAACTAAGTGTGCAACCCACGGAATTCATAATAAGTTTATGAACGACTGTATCGACACTAAGTGTGCAACCCACGAAATTCATAATAAGTTTATGAACGAGTGTATCGGCACTAAGTGTGCAACCCACGTAATTCATAATAAGTTTATGAACGACCGTATCGACACTAAGTGTGCAACCCACAGAATTCATAATAAGTTTATGAACGACCGTATCGACACTAAGTGTGCAACCCAAGAAATTCATAATAAGTTTATGAACAACCGTAGCGGCACTATGTGTGCAACCCACGACATTCATAATGAGCTTATGAATGACCGTAACGACACTACTTGTGCACCCCAAAGAACTTATAATGTTTTGAAAACAATAAATTTGTATTTTGATAGTTATATTATATTGATGTATTCATTTCACCTCATTAGTGTTATTGCCTCACTAAGTAAATACTTAATGTGTGTTTATTTCACGCGTAGATTTTAGAGAGCGAAGCAAGGAGTGCATCTGACATTGTCATTCAAGGGTCGTCTCATCAGTAACCGTACGACAACTATGTCTACTTTTGTTGTTGTTAGCTAGCATGTAATAGATTTATTATAATGCTCTGAAAAATATTTTAACTTATGATGATGTAAAAATTAAAGATGTTCAAATCTTTAAGATCTATTTACATATTATAAGTAAATGAATGTTTTAGTTTATTAAATTAAAATGTTTTATGATTGGAAACAAAATTTTTACTGGTTCTTCAAAAGTGGAAGTTTTAAAAGTGATGTGACATCTATGACTCGTGTAAGGAAATGTATACGGGAATTGGATGTTACAATTGTATATAAGGAAGGACGTATGATTTTATGTTAGAGGGTAAACTTCAATTTAAAAAATTTCAAGAGGAGCGAATAAAGTTTAAGGTAGACGAAAATTGATTTTCAATAAAAAATACATATAAAAAATTTAAAATATATAATAATTTTATATTCTTAAGGGGCGACCGCCCCCACCCATTTCGCCTAGGTCCATCCCAGACTGTATAGTTTATTCCATTCGTGGAAGGCAATCAGGCATGTTCTTAGTTATTATTCCCTCCATCACAATTATTTTTAAAAAAAGTAACTTTAGAAAAATATTTTATTAATATTTTTAAAATGTTATTTTCAAAATAATATATAAGAAATTTAGTAAAATGAATACAGCATTATTTTGTTCAAGAAAGATATATCATTAGATGACATACTATAGGAACCACGGATTTGAATTTCATGAATTATTAGTACAGTTCAAGGGAAGCTATATGAAAACGAAAGAATTTATGTGAAAATAGACATGCACGCTGTGTCCTTAAATAAATTGTGTAAACGTGTATTTTAAGATTTGTTAAAAATATTAAAATCGTAAACATGAGAATGATATATATCCGTCTATTAGTAAGTGTAGCAAATGATATATTATAATATCTTAGAATTTTAAAGATCCTAAATTTTAAAAAAAATATGTTAACTTAAAAAATTTATTTTTCGTTGGTAAGATGTAACAAAAAAATCTTTTAATTTTTTCTGTTATTGTCTCAGTAATTCAATTGTAGTTAATTTCTTTTTTAAAAAAAATTAAATTTATGACTTTAATGGATTAAAGAATTTTGTTTATGTTCATCTTAGTTTCAATTTTTAAATTTTGATATATTATAATTTTATGTTATTATAATATATTTTAAAAGTCTCATTTTAATAAAATAGCACGAGACCCACATATTTTCTTTTGAGATGAACGAGTATGATATATGTATTATCGATTATAGGCATATGATATATATATTAAACATTTATTATTAATTATATTAATCTTATTTAAATGTGTTGTATCATATTTATTATATCAACTTTTATGTTTACGAAAGTATGTATCATGCACAAATTTACAAAATCATGGGAGCAAGATGAGAATGCCTTTATACATAATATTACTTTGAATAATGTAAAATAGTAGAAGATTATTAGGGGTTCATTATTTGGTTTTAATTGAAT